TCTCTCTCTCTCTCTCTCTCTCTCTCTCTCTCTCTCTCTCTCTCTCTCTTTCTCTCTCTCTCTCTCTTTCTCTCTCTCTCTCTCTTCCTGTTCCTTCTTTTTTTGTGCGTAGCAAAATGTTCTCTGAGATGTTGTTTTCTTCAGGCCCGGCCTCTCAGCGACATTTCATGGAAGGAACGGGTCTATGTTTTCGCTATGCTGATAGCTATTCTCACCACGGCTGGCTTCACAATCTACCGTGTGTCCACAGTGGACACCACAAACTCAGATTTTGTCTTTGGCCTGGTACTGATTCTAAACGCTGGTAAGTTTTTTGTACTTTAACACTTTGCCCCTACGGGACGCCGATCGGCAACGGTAAGAAGCGGTCCTTTTTCCCCACAGGACGCCGATCAGTGCCGGTGTGATATAGCATGTATATCGCACCTGTATCCTGGTCCGTGGGGATAAGTGTTGCCCTCTCTGCACACTGCGTGGGTGAAAAGTGTAACCATTTCGTGACACGGGTCAGTTCGGGCTTCACCGGGCACAGTTTTGGATCCCCAGGGGCCCAGACTAGTGCCAGATTTAGTGGTCAGTTTCCTTTTTACTTATAATTTAGACATCATCCAGAAGAGTTAATGCTCAGATGCTACTAGATCGCTAACAACAACAGCAATAACTTGTAAAATGTAGACATCGTCCAGAAGAGTTTTAATATATATAAAATATAACATTATGTCAAGTGTCAAGGTGAGAAAGACCTCAGATGCTACTAGATCGCTGACAACAACAACAACAACTTGTAACAAAGACCTGGTTTTTAAATTACTACGTGGTATCTCTGGAAGGCTAAGATTTCTTTCTACAGACAAAATGTCGCTGAATGTGAATCTGTAATTGTGAAGCATCATGGTGAAATCAGGCACTCATCAAAATAATGAATTCGAAGAAATTAGCATTTTCCCAAAGGCCAGTAAAGGAAGACATACAGGTGAAGAAATGGAAATGAATTTGACACACCCTGAGGAGACCCCCGATAAGCATCATCAGGCAGGCTTTAACGTGGAACCCACACAAAGAAAGCGTAAGAAGGGAAGACCAAAGATGACATGGAGGCGAGCGGTACAAGCTGAAATTGAAAAAGCGGAGACATCATGGAAACAACTAGAAAAGGATGCTCAGGACAGGCTTCGCTGGAGTAATGTTGTTGATGGCCTGTGCTCCACTGGGAGTTAAAAAGGCCTAGAGAGAGAGAGAAAACTTTTACTGGAAATAAACTAAACATTTATAAAATAACCTACCCATGTTTCGAGTGCTGTGAAACTTATTTACTAAAAAACTTACCTAAGCACTAATATGACACATTACTTGTATTGCAAATCCTTAAAACTCTTACATAATCTTTTAAAAAGATGATTATTTACAACATTGGTTTCTCCAATTGTGATGCAGCGTGGTTGAATCAGGCGCTCGTCAAAATAACCAAAGTGAAGAAACCGGCATTTTTCCGCAGGTTTGTGAATTTTTATCAAATTTCAGTTTTTTTGCCCAACACCTTTCATGCCTATTAAAGAACTCATTTCTGTGTGGTTTGTTCATAAAAACGTTGATTAAAGGCACAAAAAAAGTAAATTTTCAGTTACTACGGACTCTTAAGCTAAGCAAATAACTAATCTTTAGCGGCCATTTTCTCACTAATTTTGCCTCTGAAAACAGGTGACCTCCACCCCCTTCTTTCGTAAATATCTCGACTTGTATTCGAGATAAAAGGATACTTTTTTCCATCCAAATAAAGACAAGTGAATAAGCTTTGAGATGATCCCAATAACTCTCCATGCCCAAAAATTGACAAGAGCCTGATTCCACCACGCTGCCTCACATTTACTAAAGCTTACCTAAGCACTAATATGACATATTATTTGTATTGCAAATGCCTTAAAACTTACTTACATAGTCTTTTTAAAAGATGATTATTTACAACGTTGGTTGCTCCCATTTTCCTTTCAGTTTGCCTCGTAGCGATGGTCATCGATGGGGTGCTGAGAGAACGACCGTCCGAGCTGTTCATTTTGTCCGTGGCTACAGTCTTCATCCTGGTCTACATGATCGTCAACTTTGCTGCCGGGTCTCAGGGGAACGTCAAACTGGTGAGAGTGTGTGTGTGAGTGTGTGTGTCTGTGTGTGTGTGTGTGTGTGTGTGTGTGTGTATGTGTGTGTGTATGTGAGTGTGTGTGTGTGTATTTGAGTGTGTGTGTGTGTATTTGAGTGTGTGTGTGTGTG